GAAAGATTTCAGCTGGGCCAAAGATATTGGAGTGAGGTTATATGGAAATACGATGTCCATGTGGAGCGAAGTTTGTCTTCTGTATGTGATTGTTATATCTCTCATATTTTCTAAATTTCTGCGTTGTTTAACAGGCTCTATTGTGAGTGACCATCCAAGGCAGTGACTAGAGTAGTCTAGCACAGATAGGTTTTTATTGCAGGTTTTTTTTGTTGTAAGTTGAGGTTTTCTCAGGTTTAAAAATCCCTTATTTTAGTGGCGATTTTAGTGTAACTAAATGCTAATTGAATTGAGATTCTTAAAGAAGCCATTAACAAACTGGCATGGTTTTATGATGCTTGGCAGGGCGATTGGTTGTTGATATTTAATAAAATTCTTAGCATATTGTATTCAGAGTTTAAATACTTGGAGTTCGACTTGCGTAGGGAAATGATAAGCTAGCTGTTCGTTCTTTTAGTCATGGTACCTATAGCTTTTCTCTCATTCTGCAGCTATGGCAAAGTAAAACGTTAAGGGACAAAACAAGGTGTCCCAGGTTGTCTTCTGATTGTTAAAGCAATTAAAGTGCAACAACCTGATAATGCTAATAAGGTTGTTTGTATGAATAGACTGCTTCTTAGTATATGCATTTATTCAGGCTTTTCTTAATGTTGAAGTGCTGAATACATTTCTCTTTCCAGATTTTATAAGGAGAAGTTGATGCAGGTTGGACACTGACCTTTTAATCTGAAAGGTTAATTTATCTTGGAGGAGATAAGTTAGAAGTTTAACATCTCCAGTGCAGCTCTGATATCAGTACAAAAACTAAACTAGGTTTGACAATACATAGAAATACTTTGATAAGCATATTGGGAAATACAGATGAAATAGCAGCTAGTCAATATCAGATGGCTTCTTGAACACAAATTATAGTAAGCTAATGCTTTTAGAGTTTATCGTAGAGTTCAAAGTAATTAACAGATGAAAAGAAAACTTGATACTTGGCCATTGTAATAAAAGTTGTCACAACTTACAGTACAGTTTGGCTCTATATTTGTGGACTAAGTTAACTAAGTTCAATTAAAAAAGACAAAATAGCAATTGTGTGAATAGCAAAAAAGGTCTTGCAATACATAATTTTAACTGTGTAATGCACTGTTCTTATTTTTGTATCTCCAGTTTGAAAAAGAATTCACTTGAAAGATCCAGGTGTTGACAAAAATGAAACTATTTTCTGTATGTTCTTAGAGTGTTCCATCATTACGCAAGTGAGAACATTGAAGACAACACCTGGACTAATAAAAAAAGTAACTGGGGTACTTGAAGCCTGTGTTGCTGTTGTATTAGTGTGCTATGAACTGACTCCACTGATGTTCAGTATTGGTGTTTCATATGCGCTGTCAAACCATTTCACGGATTTGGAACAGATATAGCACAGTTTAATTTTAGAGCATGCTTTCCAAGGAAACATTGATTTGCTACTTTATGTATACAGAGAGCTAACTGTTCCAGTTTTGAAAAAGTTGTGAGAAAGAAATGGAGAATTTTGTTTGCTTGCCCTTGTTTCCTAAATTATTTTTTCTCTTTAACAATTTCTTAGACCAGTTCTAGTTTTTGGGGAGTGTTCACTTCTGAAACTTAATAACATTCCAAGTAAACTGTCCTATGTTTTGGAAGATGTTCTTAGAACTGAAATTTTTACCAGAGACATCTGGCAAGGGTGTGATCTCCATTAATTTGTCATCTTAGTTGAATAAAAAGACTGCAGCTTTTTATTTTTCCATGGGTATTTGACACAGAGTGTAATTACTGCATGTTTATTTGGAACATTTTCCCCTGAAAAAGCGTTTTCAGTTTTCCATAGATGGTAAAAATGTTTTTGTAAGCAGTGGCTAGCTTCATGAGGTGGTCATCAAAATAGTTTCCTACTCCTTATCTTCTGAGTCCAAAGAAAATTTCTCATATCTTTCCTACTGCTTTCAGCTTAATGAATTACTGCTCTTCACGTAAGGTTTACCCTGTTTATACAGTTTATTAATATTTGAGCAAAGTGTTCAGGGTAATCTTTTTGCCTTTTCATATTAGACTGTATTTTCATATTATAATATATTATTATTTTGTGGTATGGTGTTACCTGTAAAGACTGCAAAATTAATTTCTGCCTATGTGTGACCAATAAGAAAATTTGAAATTTTTAATGAAATCATTATAGATTAAAATGCATGGGGGGGTGTATTTCTGTAAGTATCAAAAATAGTAAGTTTTGTCTTCTGCCTTTGAAGTTGACAGTCATGTGGGCTGTGAGCTTTCTTGACTTTGTGAAAAACCCGCAATTGTACATAGGTGCTCTCATAGCTGTTTGCCCAGGTTTGACACTAGGTAACATTAACAAGGCAAGCATAATAGCATGGAAGACTTTTGGTAAAGTAGCTTCACTTACAGCAATGAAGTAAAACTCATTTATCTACTCTGCAGAATTGTGACAACCTACTTAGTGCCTCAAGAAAAGTAGGATCTACATAAGGTGAATTTCCTACTTAAATGCTTTATTGCCATATCTTCACTTCTTTATTCGCACCGGGGGCTGGGGGAAATCCATTTTCCGGGCCTCCTTTATGCTTCGTGAAAGAGCAGAAGCCTACAATTCTGTTTCTCTTTTACATCAAGCTTGGTTATATAAGGGTTTATCATGCATGAAACAGATTAGATGATTTCATAATCTCATCTATGTGAAATCTGTGGAGAAAAAATATTTTTTGTCTCCTTTTGCACATAACATAACCTTTAATAGTTAGAAGTTCTTCTAAGCCCATGCAAGTTATAAGATGTGTGGGCTTTCCTATTTTATATGCTTTCTAGGCTGTTATGTATGTCAATGAATATCCTGCTTGACTGAAGAGTAATAGTAGTTAATGGTAGTGTGTCGTTCCATTCCCTTGGATATGGTCTAAAGCCTTCAAACTTATGCTTGAAAGGCCTTTCAAACATGTTTCTAGTTGTTTAAGAAGCTAAATAGTTTAGATTTAATGAAATCTATCATACAGAAGTTCACAGAATCACACTTTTGGTGTTTCCTGCGTTTCATGAAGACACTGTCAGGGTCTCAGCAAAAGTGTTGCCATAGCTTAGTCTGCCAAGTTAGTTGGGCCTGTCCTCTCTGCTACTTGCACAGTCCTGCCTTCTTCTCCCGTAGTAGGCAGTAGCACTTCTGCACTTCTGTGCACTCCTTTCCGTAGAGGTGGTCTTAAGCTAGTGCAGTACCTTGAACTAGCTTCCTCTCCTGGCACAAGAAGAGGCATGGGATCTGAAAAGTTCAGACTTAGTTTTGCAATAGATTTACAGCCTACAATATAGGTGCCTGCACCTGGTTTTCATAGTATTTATTTGTATAATTTACCTGTGAAGCTGCTAACTTTTTGGACACGAAAGTACCTATTCCCCTTTCTTCCATGCCTCTTAAGAAGCTAGCTGGAGTGTTCTTACGCTTTGAGAAGAATTATAAAAATAAGATGACAATGCATGATCATGTTGGTTGTGGGGTTTTTTGGGTTTTTTTTAGGCAATTCAGCTAATGAGCGTTTGGTAGGAGAACACTTGGTATGCAAATCTGATGTGCTAATATAGCGTGTGTTCATA